GTAGATAGATGATAGATAGATAGATAGATAGATAGATAGATAGATAGATAGATAGATAGATAGAAGATAGATAGATAGATGATAGGTAGGTAGGTAGGTAGGTAGGTAGGTAGATAGATGATAGATAGATAGATAGATAGATAGATAGATAGATAGATAGATAGATAGATAGATAGATAGATGGATGATAGGGCTACATACATTTCTTGCATTCTGCTAGCTTTTCTTCTGTTTTTAAATCTTCACCTAAGGATATGTTTTTTCATTTATTCGAGAGAGAGAGGAAGGGGGAGTGGGGGAGAAAGAGAAACAGTGATGTGAGAGAGAAACACCTACTAGTTGCCTCCTGCATGCACCCCGATGGCGGATCGAATCCGCAACCCAAGGTCGCTCCCTGACCGGGTACCACCCCCGGTGCACAGGATGGCGCTCAACCAGCGGAGCCACCCGGCCAGGGCTCTGCTAGTTTTCCTTTCACGCCCTTCCCTGGTCCGTGTGGGATATGTACACTCAGTACCATTACCGGGTTGCCACTGTTCTAGGTATTTCTTACCTCCTATGGCGACCCTTAAAATTTCGTAATTAATTTCATTTGCTACCCTGACGGCAACCCCTGCTTCTGAAATTGGCCCGTGAGTATGATTCACCTTCCCCCTTAACGTCCCTCTTGCACACTGTGGGCCGATGCGTTAACCACGCAGCATCTCAGAGCTGGAAGAGCCCCTTGGAACGCACCCTGCCTGGCCTTGTCATTTTACAGACAGGGACGCTGGGCCCAAGGCTGCAGGCTGGTCTTATCAGCTGCGTGACCTAGGCCTGTTGCCCAGCTTCGGCAAACCTCAGCGTCCTCTTTGATAAAATAAAGATAAGAGTAATCTCCCCCAACAGTAGCTATGAAGATTAAATGCTTAGCCCAATGTCCAGAGCGGAGCAGAGCTCAGTAAATAGCAGTGATTTCCACTCTTATCCCCTTGGAAATGTGTGGGCACTTCCCGAGAAGGCAGGGCACATCTAGGACATTTTAAAAAATGTTTCCTCTAAGTAACAGATATTATATTGCCTGGGGGAATGGGGTGAGGGGAGGCGGTGGAGGGTGCAGGGGATAAATGCCAAATAACAGTTTAAAAGGCCCTCACGATGGCATCTGTTATTTATTTACTTATTTTTATTGAATTTATTGGGGGGGTGGTGGTGACACTGCTTACCAAGGTTATACAGGTTTTCGGCGTACAATTCTATAATACATAATTTGTATATTGTAGTGTGTGTTCACCACCCCAAGTCAAGTCTCTGTCCATCACCATTTATCCCCTGTACCCTCCACCTAGATAATTACTGGTTAATGCTGTGAGAAATACCAACTGGCTAGGAGTTAGGGTTCAAACAACTTACACCCTAATTAAATGTGCGAAGAGGGAAATAAAATTAGGAAACAAATGTCATTAAATTAAGATGAGGAGTTGGGGATAAACTTGAGTTTGGTTCCGCTAATGAGTTTGTGCCTAAGGCACCGTAGATTGCAAAGCTAACGGACAGCTTACGAATCAAAGGCCAAGTAGATTCTGATTGCTGGCTAGGGGCTAACCAGTATTTAATAATGTGCTTTTCTAGATGCTGCTGATGTCACGGTAAGATATCAGAAGGTCTTAGTGATTAGAACCACACGGAATAATCCAAAGGGAATGACAGCCCGACTGGTGTGGCTCAGAGGTTGAGCATCAACTTAGGATCCAGGAGATCGCGGTTCGATTCCTGGTCAGGACACATGCCGGGGTTGCGGGCTCGGTCCCCAGCAGGAGGCGTGCAGGAGGCAGCCGATCAGTGACTCTCTCATCACTGATGTTTCTCTCTCTCTCTCCCTCTCCCTTCCTCTCTCTGAAATCAATAAAGATTTTATTTTTTTTTTAAAAAGGGGAATGACAGTACTCAGTGCTGCCCTCGATATAGGAGCTAACGAGCGCAGGGCCCGGTGCGGGCCGGCAGCTGTCATCCTCGGCAGCGTGCACGGCTGCCTCCGGGGACGAGCTAGGACCTTGGCTGCATCCCCCCACGTCCTTCCTCACTTAGGGGCTCACTACTGAAACTCAGGTAAGGGCGCACACATCGCCATTCATTTCAAAATAAGACATTAAGTTTGAAAGGGAAAAACTGGAAGAAATCAAATATTGACTCTATGTAATTCTGGGCCTTAACGCCATCTCTGGAATGATTCAGGATTTTTACCCGGTTACTTCCTTCTCTGGATTGGCTTCAGGTGACGTGGCTCCCTTTCCATTTTCCTGGGCATACCTCAGGGGTAGAGCAGGCATCCGGCTGTCCTGTGCCTGCCTGCAGACAGCTTTCCCAGTGCCAGCCCTGCCCTCCCTTCGCTCTGCCACTGTCCTTGGCCCCTGCCCACCGTCAGGGCTCTGCAGCCACCTCGCTCCGGCCTTGTTGACAGCCAAGTCACCAGGTACGCCAGTGGAGCTCTGGCTGGAGCAGGTACAGCGGTGGCTTTTGGGGTGGAGGAGTGGCCTGGCAGTCAGTCACATAAGAGGAGGGAGACAGGGTTGGAATGTCCCAAAGAGGGGTCTGGCGCCTCTGCCTCCTCAGAGTTAAGCTGGGTGGTTACCTACAGAGAAAGTGTGTGGTGGGCTGTCCCACCATTTAGCAGGACCTCACCTTGGGGTAGAGGGCTCAGTAAAAAGATGAACAAAGTGCATTTGTCCACTAGTGAAGTAGAGTTGACCCTTGAACAATGTGACGGTTAAGGGTGCTGACCCCCAGGAGTTGAAAATCCACATATAACTTTTGACTCGCCCAAAACGTAACTACACCCGTTGTTCCTCAAGTATCCATGGAGGACTGGTTCCAGGACCCCTGCAGATGCCAATATCTGTGGGNTTTTTTTTTTAAAAAGGGGAATGACAGTACTCAGTGCTGCCCTCGATATAGGAGCTAACGAGCGCAGGGCCCGGTGCGGGCCGGCAGCTGTCATCCTCGGCAGCGTGCACGGCTGCCTCCGGGGACGAGCTAGGACCTTGGCTGCATCCCCCCACGTCCTTCCTCACTTAGGGGCTCACTACTGAAACTCAGGTAAGGGCGCACACATCGCCATTCATTTCAAAATAAGACATTAAGTTTGAAAGGGAAAAACTGGAAGAAATCAAATATTGACTCTATGTAATTCTGGGCCTTAACGCCATCTCTGGAATGATTCAGGATTTTTACCCGGTTACTTCCTTCTCTGGATTGGCTTCAGGTGACGTGGCTCCCTTTCCATTTTCCTGGGCATACCTCAGGGGTAGAGCAGGCATCCGGCTGTCCTGTGCCTGCCTGCAGACAGCTTTCCCAGCGCCAGCCCTGCCCTCCCTTCGCTCTGCCACTGTCCTTGGCCCCTGCCCACCGTCAGGGCTCTGCAGCCACCTCGCTCCGGCCTTGTTGACAGCCAAGTCACCAGGTACGCCAGTGGAGCTCTGGCTGGAGCAGGTACAGCGGTGGCTTTTGGGGTGGAGGAGTGGCCTGGCAGTCAGTCACATAAGAGGAGGGAGACAGGGTTGGAATGTCCCAAAGAGGGGTCTGGCGCCTCTGCCTCCTCAGAGTTAAGCTGGGTGGTTACCTACAGAGAAAGTGTGTGGTGGGCTGTCCCACCATTTAGCAGGACCTCACCTTGGGGTAGAGGGCTCAGTAAAAAGATGAACAAAGTGCATTTGTCCACTAGTGAAGTAGAGTTGACCCTTGAACAATGTGACGGTTAAGGGTGCTGACCCCCAGGAGTTGAAAATCCACATATAACTTTTGACTCGCCCAAAACGTAACTACACCCGTTGTTCCTCAAGTATCCATGGAGGACTGGTTCCAGGACCCCTGCAGATGCCAATATCTGTGGGTGCTCAGGTGCCCTATATAAATGGTGTAGGTCAATGCACACAGTCGGCCCTCTGCTCCCACAGGCTCCCAACCACAGACTGAAAACAGCACAGTCAGCCTCTCCTGGAAACAACCGGCCAACCTCGGTCAGGTCAGTCTACACCGGCATAGCTTGATCCAGATCACTGATAACGAATAAGTGGATATTAACTTTTCTCACCAAGTCATTTTCTCTTAAGACAGGCCGGGCAGAAGCACACTGTAGAGATTTTCCCATTTTTCTCAGCAGAACCAGGGCTGAGCGCAGGCCCGGCACAGACCAGGCCAAAAGCAGACTTACAGCGAAGGGCCCCTCGCTTGCATGGACGGCTCCTTCTGAAGTCCAAAGAGGGTCCAATGCATTCACTAGCTATATATATCTTTGCAAAATTAGCAAAAGTAAAAGGTTTCAGCCAAACTGGCTACCACTTCTGTCTCTTTCCACCGCCACCTCCCTACCTCCCTAACTCTACACCTCGCATCGGGTGGCACCTGGAAGGCCATGAGCACTTTTAGGATCTGGCTAAGGGGAAGCTGAGTCAGGATAAATGTATTTTGAATGTAGTGGGGCATACTCCTGTGGTTTGAGACCACTAAACTCGGTATCTTGGTGTAGCCAGGGTGCCAGCCGGCCATGGGTGGTGACATGAAGGTGCAGGACCGGAGCTTGCATGACACCTAAAGGTGTCCTACAGCACCTGGCACCTGGCACATGTGATTGGGGGATGCGAAATGGCTTGAAACGTGCGAAGCCAGAAGCAAATCTGTGGAAAATTTGTCAACCATCAGATGGGCAAAATTGCCAGAGAAGGTGTGGTTCTCATTGAGGTGCAGGCACAGTGGACTAGATGCTACATCAATGCTAAGCAAGACGGACACGGCCACCAGGTCCGACTAGGAAAGGTCCGGCACCCACAGGGAGGCACTTCCCGGGAAGATGGTAGAAAAAGGAATTACAGTCGCTACACCAATGGATCATCTCAATGTCACTGTAAGGGAGCTGGTGGCATGTCATCATTTGCCTTATCAGACAGGTGCCAGACCACAGACCTGGTTCAGCGAATATCTATAGTATTTACTAGGAAAATACTTTGTCTTCCCTGCTTTATCAGGAAAACTTCCTGAATGGGAGTGGCCATATGTGTCGCTCTGGTAGGTCCAGGACTGGGCATATGGCTTAAGATGTGCCAGTCAGAGCAGCTCTTCCTTGGAATTTTACAATGTGAAGCCTCCAGAGCAGTACTTGCTTGTTTAGGGGGTAAGAGCAGGAAGCCTGTCTGTGAGAAAGGCCCTGGCAGGGGGGACAGAAAGACAGCCCTGGCCTCAGGCTAGGAAAGGGGAGCCCCCTGCACCTAGCCGGATGCTCCAGAGGGCCCTGCTCTGGGTCCTCTGGGGAGGTATCTGCAGGGCCAAGGGGGTATGCTCACCTCAATCTACAGGCTCCTCCTCTTTGAGTCCCAAGAATTCTCTGCCCAAATGGCCCTGAGTCTCTTCCAGATCCTGCTTGGGCCTCTTTCCCAGGACTGTCCTGCCGCACACAGACCACGACACAGGTGCCCACCCTCTAGGTCTGAAGTGTGGCCAACGGGTAGCTGTTTGGGGGGCATCTGGGTTGTGGGGGGCAGGGGTGTGTGGATGGAACTTAGATGTGCAGGTTGGGGTGTCCGCACTCACACATGCAAGACCATTTGTGATCCAGAGCAAAGCTCAAGGTGGGAAGAGAGGGAAGAATGCCACAGGCTGGGGGCTGCCTTCCTCCCTTGCTGCCAGAATCCAAAGTAGCACTTTAAGGAGTCAGAGAATTCTAAGTTCCAGCCCTGTGCTCCCTCTATCATCCTCCACCAGCTTCCTAACCACCTTTCCGGCTACAATCCAAGCACACTTGCTGACACCCTGGCAGGTAAAAGTCAGAATCCATGGGGAGAAGTTGTACCTACCTGACTCCAAGAAACACTTGCAGGAGAGTGCAGATGCCAGAGACGAAGAACATGGTGCTGATGAGGTAGCTCTGGGTGAGGGGGTCGTGCTGCAGACACAGGTCCTTGGCCAGGATGAGCGGCACTGCCACGAGTCCCCCCAGGGCCGTGAGGAAGTGCTGTGGGTGGAGCAGAGAGAGTAGATGGGCACTGCATGCTAAGGATGCCTGCTCCACCTTCAGTATCACTTCTAGGCCAGAGGCAAGAGCTCCACCTCTGGTCTCAGAGGAGCCTGGCCATGAGGGACAGGCAGAGATCTGGGCAAGCAGTGGGAACAAAGAAGGCCTGGCAGCAAGAAGCAGGAAACTAGCCAGAGGCTCTAGAGTTGAAGGCAGGGCCCTAGTGCGAGAAACTGATACCCTGGGTAAGAAACTAAGGCAGGAGCACAGCAGAGGAGGTCATAAGAGGGACCAAGGAGGGGGCTTTAAGGATGAGAACATGGTGAGAGGCTCATTATTAAAACAAGGCACAAGGTAAGGGCAAGACCGCTGACCAGGAAGACCTGAACACACTCTCCAGAAGAGATCATATATGGAGTCACACAACAGCCATAGCAAATTTAAGAAAATCGAGATCATACCTCAAAGGAACTAGAAAAAGAACAAACTAAGCCCAAAGTTAGCAGAGGAAGGAAATAACAAAAATCGGAGCAAAATAGATTAAAGAGATCAGAAGAGCAATAGAAAAGATTAGTGAAACTAAGAACTATATTTTTTAAAAGGACAGATAAACCCTTAGCTAGACTAAGAAAAAAAAAAAAACACACAAAGAAATAAAATCAAGAAATAAAAGAGGAGCCATTACAATGGATACAACAGACACAAAGTACTGTAAGACATAAATCGGATAAATTCCTAGAAACATACAAATTACCAAGACTCAGTCATGAAGAAACAGAGAAACTGAACAGACCACTAACAAGTGAGAAGTTTGAATCAGTAATCAGAAACTTCCAACAGGGCATAGGTGGGGAGAGATTAACCAAAGAATTTATATGCATATATGCATAACCCATGGACACAGACAATAGTGTAGTAAAGGCCCAGGGTGAGGGGTGGGTGTGGGGTAGAAGGGGTCAATGGGGAAAAAAGGGGACATATGTAATACTTCCAACAATAAAAATAAATTTATATATATAGAAAAACCTTCCGACCAATAAAAGCTCAGGGCCAGATGGTTTCACTGGTGAATTCTACCAAACATTGAAAGAAAAATTAACCCAAACCTTCTCAAACTCTTCCAAAAAATTGAAGAAGGGGGAACAATCCCAAACTTATTTTATGAGGCCCACATATAATCTAATAGCAAAGCCAGATAAAGACACTACAAGAAAAGAAAACCATAGGCCAACATCCTTGATGAATATACACGCAAAAATTCTCAACAAAATACTAGCAAATGGAATTGAACAGTACATTAAAAGGATCCTACATCATGACCAAGTGCACTTTATCCCTGGGATGCAAGAATGGTTCAACATATACAAATCAATACATATGATATACTACATTAATAAAATAAAGGCTAAAAATCATATGACCATCTCAATAGATGCAGTAAAAGCATTTTACAAAATTCAACATCCTTTCATGATAAAATATTTAAATTAACCATTTTATCGGCTCATAATATTTTTAAAAAGGTATAACATTTGCTCTTCTTATTTCATAGAAAAGCACAAAGAAGCAAACAAAAATGTGTATCCCATCCCCAATATTCCACATGGAGAGGTTTGTAAAATTAAAAGAAACATATCTATGAGATTAGAAAATCCATGCTATAAAAAGTTACAAAATAAGAAGTGAAAGTTGAAAGCTACCCTCCTTTCCCTAGTTCCTCTTACCAAGGTTAAATACGTTTATTAGTTTCTTGTGAATCCTTCAAAACATACAAAATTACTACATACACTTATTTCTACCATCCTCTTGTTGTTTGTTTTTAACACAAAAAAATCACACATAAACTGTTATTTACTTTGCTTTTTCCACTTAATGTATCTGGGAGAACATTTTCTAACTTCAAGGTACATATATATTTCTCTTTTTATCAGCTGCATGAAAACATCACTTGCTAGGTTGTCATAAATTATTTAACAGGTTCCCTATGATGGATATTTTGGTTGTTTCTAGAGTTTTGTTTATGTGTTTGCTGTGTGATTTTGATTTTACTATTATCAATAATGCTATAGGAACATCTCTGTACTTATCTCAACAAGTCTAATCAGCATAACCTCAGAGAAATTCTTAAGCAGCGGGGACTGGGTTAAAGGGTAAATGTGTATTACATGTTGATAGAAATCACCAAATTGTCATCTAGAAAGGTTGTACCAAATAACATTCAAACAAAAGTGTTTGCAAGTGCCTGTTTCCCAAAATTTCCCAGGCATTGGTTATCAAACTTTTTAGTTGTTGCCAATCAAATAAATTAAAATCGGTATGTTTACAAAAAAACCCAATGTCCCAGTCGATGTCTTTAGTGTAACCTATCAGCCCAACATGAGAGAGAATCCTCCCTAGTTCCTTCCTCCAACCCCAAATTCCTGGAAAGAGAGACCAAAGAAGCCTTGAGTTCCCCTGGAAGTCAACTACATGGAAGACGAGAATATGCACAACTGAAGTGTGGGTCTTGACTAATTTGTCCTGGGTGTGTATTGATGAGGCTTTTGAGGCAGATGCTCTTTGAACCCAGTGCCTGCTGGGTGACATTACCTGGACCCCCATGATGATGCAGAGATACCATGGTGGAATGTCCAGGATGTGATAGGCCAGAGGGCTGCTGCTGGGACTCCCGGGGTGGCCAGCCTTCTTCCTGCCTCGGCCATCATCATGGAAGGTGAGCACACCATCTCCTCTCTGCTCGGAACAAGAGAACGACACATCTCATTTCAAGAGGAATCCTGGTTTCAACCGTACAGATGGATGGCCTTCCAGAGGCAAAAGGCAATGAGACAGGGGTAGCTGTTGGCCAGCTTGGGATTTCTAGGTGCGAACTCAAAAGACCAATGGTTTTCTGTATTATGTCTCTGCAGCAGGACCTCCATGTGAAGCCTGGGGCCATGCAAGAGGAGTGGATCCCATGCCAAAGCCCTGGCAGAGAAGCAGCTTTGTGCAGGAGGGGATGGGGGTCAACTCTAAGGTCAGAAAATGGGCAGGCTCTCCTCCCAGCCAGTCAGGAAAATGGATGCTGGCCCCAGAATGGTGTAGCTGCCCCCAGGCCCTGTGTGGACATCTGTCAAAGCCCTCATCACAGCATGTTCATTATAATGAATGGTTTCCTCATCGCTCTCTTCTGCTGGGCTGTGAGTTCCTAGAATGCACTGAGTGTGCCTGTGGCCTCCCGTGGGTGCCTGTGAATGAGCTCACAGGGCTGCAGTGGGTATAGCCATGTGTGTCCACCAGTGAGCTCACCTCACGCCCTCTCCCAGGACCTCTGGGGATTCTCAAGATGGTAATGGAGAAGGAAACATGTGGGGAACTGTTGGTTTGGGACCTTCCTGTCTTTTTTCCTATTAACAGCCAATGACTCAAAGGCTGTTCTCAGCATGATGACCTCTGAATATACAGCCTCGATATCAACTTGGACCATCTGAGGGTTATGGAAACCACTTCCTCATCTGCTTTAAAACAACGTCTGGGAACTGACCTTGCAAAAGTTTCCAAATAAGAAAAAATTTTGGAACATGGAGCTGGGGGAAAAATATATTGTCCTTGAGAACGGCTGGTTCTTCAAGAGTGTGTGACTCTCTGAAGCCTGTCAGCCATGACCGGAAAGCACAGAGCCTGATCAAAAGATGACTGTTGTTGTAAACTGCCTCACATCGCGTATGCAAAGAGATGGGGCAAACAAACAACAACGAAGGCAGATACATAGCATGTCTGAAGGTTCCTGTGTGTCAGAGAGGGCTCCTTAGCACACTAAAGACCTACACAGAAACAAGTGACATCCCAGAGACATTTGAGAGCAGGGCTTCTCAGATGGAGGTGGAAGATGCCCCATGTGAGAGTCTATCCCAATATGGGGAGCACCTTTATCCCTGGAGAGCCCCCTGCAGGGAGAAGGCTGTGCCTGTGACTCACACAGCCCCAGGAGAAAGCTCTGGAGCCCCTTTTCCGAGGAAGAGCGAATTCTTAATGAAGCACCCCCTGCTGGTGAGCATTGGTATGAGACAAGGGGCCACACCTCTTCTGGTTTGGAACTGAGTTGGGCTGTAATTTCACCAAAAGAAGCGTTCTGGTGAGCCTTGCCATTCTGTGGTGCTTTACAGTTTACAAAGAACTTCCAGTGCATCCTCTCATTTGATTCTCACCATCACCTTATCACCCACCCCTGATTTACAGAGGAGGAGACTGAGGCTCAGTGAGGCTTGTCGAAGGTGCCATTGTAAATGGGAGAATGGCACCCTCCTCTTTTGACATCAAGGGCCGTGGCCTGCAGGTTTGTCCCTTGTGCATACAGGGACAGCCCTCCAGCTTCCTGGAGCAGACAAGCACAGCAGGAGGAGACTGGTACAGGAACAGCAGCAGAGGGAAGGGGGTGACCTGGGGGGCAGATGGACCCCTTTCTCTCTGAAGTACTCCATCAGCACACACAACCTTCCATCCCACTCTTCACCCTCTAGGTTCATTTCCTAACATTCCCGGTCACCTGGCTCTAGCCAATGAGATTGGCCAGGCCTCTCCATGTGGCCTCCAGTATCCTGCCTCAGTGCCTTTGCTCACCCTGTGCTCCCCACTTGTGCCCCTGCACCCGAGGGCTCAGTGTCTCCTACCCATCACCTCTCACGATGCCTGGCCCCTGTATGAGTTTCCTGCCTCACACTCCGTGCACATTTTCTCTCCTTGTTATGTAATTAATCACTTTCTCCCTTATATTAGAAATATTCTGTGTAGCCCGCTTTCCCCTGGCAAGGCCATAAGCTTTCAGGGTTGGGAAGCTATCTTACCCATGTTAATATCCCTAGAAGTTTCTAGTAAAGCAACGTGAAAACCAAAAGCCTCCCAGAACAGTGACTTCTTTCATCCGGGTGCTGAAAATGAAGAGAAGACAGGCCACTGAAAGGAGATGGATACGTGCCCAGGCCCTTCCGCTTGCCAACTGGCCTCAGGTAAGCCCAAAATGTAGGAAACATCACAGCCCTCAGAAAAGGGAGTCTTCGACTTAATTCCCAAGATTTGTTTTGGTTTTGGTTTTGTTTTTTTGGCTTCCATGAAGTAGTGGCAGAGATTAACCTGAGGAAAAGAGAGGAGAGTTCTCTCAGGTGCCCCCCATGATTTTCCAGAAGAGGGGACCAGGGCCCCTATACTAAAGGTTGACCAGCAGTGAGCAGGCTCTGGCAGACTGACCCCAGGGGACAGCTCTGAGAGCTCAGCCCAGGCTCACACCTTGGCACCTGTCCCACACACACCTTGGCTGGGCCTCATTGGGGCTGCAGCCCGGGCCTGGTGTGGAGAGAGGGGCTCTTCCTGCCTGTGGTGGGGGTGGCAAGACTCTCAGTTCCCCCTGGTCTTTACAGGTGGCCAAAATAGGTTGGAGAGGTGGTAGGGCCAGGCCTCAAGGACTAGCTAGAGAGGCCCCCAGCTGGGTTACCCTGGCTTTACTTCTCTGGGCCTCAGGTTCCCCATCTGTAAAATGGTAACAGGAGAGCCTGCTCTGTGGGCTTCGAAGGAAGGAAATAAAGTACATAAGGTGCCTGGGGCATTTGGGTTGCTCAGTAAGTATCGGCTCCCCTCTCTCTTTCCTTTCACCTTGCTTCAGAAAGGGCTACTGATAAAAGGAACCGTCACCCCGAGAAACCTGGAAAACAAACATTTAGGTTCAGCAGAGCCTGACCTGTGAGAAGACAGGCCAAGTAAAGGTAAAGGCAAAGCAGAGAATTTCTCCTCTCCCTCCTGCCTTTGTGATTCATTCACAGAGGTCAGCCCTTCAGGGAGGACTCTTCACCCCTGGTGATGGTGAGGTCTGAGCACAGGGGGCAGCCTCGTGTAAAAATCTCAGATCTTTAGATCATAAGCCATTGTCCTTAGCACTAATGACGAATCGGGCACTAGGGCTCCGTGCCAGGCCCCCTCCAGGCTTCTTCCTTCCGAGCTGCCCACTCACGTCTTACCCCTCCCTCTCTTTCCAGAACTCACCAAGGGGTCAGGATGCTCAGGGCCCGCGACGGCAGAGCTCATGGCAAATCCAAGTCTTCTCCTTTGGGCGTCCTCTCAGGATAAAAAAAAAAAGAAGTTTCTCTAGTGGAGAAAGATTAACTTCTTGATGCCTCTGAAATAATAAGGAAAAGAGAAAGTCAAGGATCCTGGCTGGCTCTGGGGAGGGTGGGGCCTTCAAGCCCCGCCTGCTATTGGACAAT